GAACCCTTCAGTGTCAGGAAACCGAAGGACCAACGCCATTTGTTCTTTCTTGGATTCATCGCGAGCTTCGTCAACCATTATACAAAATTTGCTATCACCAATTTCTTCTCTAATTGTTCTTTGCACCTTTCGAGAAAGTATAGCAAGAATTTCCTCTTGAACCTGATGAGATGTGTACTTTGCGTTTCCAGGAGCATTTTCCAAGACAACATCATTCACCTCCTTGTTATAAGAAGCCAAAAGTTTTACCAGTTCTAGGAAATTACCCCGGTTAATGGATCCCGGAGATTCATCATGCCCTCTAAAAGCACAAGCCTGGAATGTTAACCACCTGCATCATATCATATAATTGTTTTGTTAGGATACTACAAGATACAATATTTTAATTATTGTAACAGAAGATGGAAGAAAAATATTGCTTACCGGATGGAATCAATTGTAACTTTGAGGCTTAGCCTTGCATCTAAAATTGTTTTTGCGGATGCTTTCCCATACAGCTTATCAATATGAGTCATGCCGTTTTTAAAATTATCATAACAACGAACTGAGAAGTTATGGGCTGAACCAGCATCTTTACCCATATGAGTTAAAAAAGCACACTCTTTCCCATTATTCACCTTCTTCCACCTATCAAAGCCCAAAACAGTAAATGTTTCTGAGCCGCACTTCCCAATCGGCTTTCTTGAGAAGAGGAAACAATGGAAGCAATATGCACGCTTTGTGTAAGGTGAAAACTCGAGCCATTTAAAATCCTTGAACCAACTGTACTGGAAACGCCGACGATGTTTCGGTGGATCATCATTATATGGATACTCTCTCATGTATGGCACGTATCGGCCTTCAGAAATATAGAATTGGCGTGCTTCATTTTGCTTATCAAAAGGGAGTTCCTAAATCTGTTTGCGCTTTCCAGGGTCTCGCTCGAATGGTGTGCTTCGGATTCTTTGTTGTTCTAGAACTTCTACTTCTACAGATGCCTCGATATTTTGCTCAGGGGGTGGCATATCAACTGAACTGAGATTGGGGACATTATGATCAGTGGGTTGCTCTGTGACATCGACCTCCACGGTTGCATTTGCATTTTCAACTGTAGAGTTTGAAGCAATTGACTTGAAAAAATTACTTATGGGTGGTGTCTTCCTCTTCCTCATGACCTATTTTTTTTTTTTTTGAAAAGGGGTGCAACCCCAGCCTCTTCCTCATGACCTATGCAGTTCTTATATAAGTACAAAGCAGATATGTAATCTGGAATTGATGTGACAAGTGCCAAAATATACTAAGTCACTAACCACTAAGTAGTAAGTACTGACAGTTGATCAATTGATTTGTTGAATCAAACTGACAAGTGACAACTACAATACTATGAAGTATGAACCTGTAGTCAGTAGACAATAATACCTCTTTCTCTGATCACGGGACAGGATCAGTTAGGAATTCTGCTTGTGGCGATTCCGTGTGGCTGCCTGTACTCGATTGATGCGCGGTCGGCGGCAGCTTCGCGAATCAGCAATCGACGACGGGCGAAACACAGCGGCGCGACGCCCGGCAGCCGGCGTCAATGAAGCCCTAGGACCAGCGGCTAGCGGCGCGTCGCGGACGAAAGAGTCCAGGTTTCCAGGAAGCTAGTCGCGTGTGTGTCGTTCATCGTTGATCGATTGAGATGAACTCATGGACAGATGCTGGATGGGTACCAGCGTATGCGTGGTATGCAGGCTGCAGCCTTGGCCCTTCATGCGTTTTGGGCTTGACATGAGTTTAGCCCATGCATTAATGGCCGGATAATTATGCCTAAAAT